TTTTGGATAATATATCTTCTGATTAATAATTGAATAAGCTTGGCCTCAAACAACTTGGTTCTTCCAATCCTTCACAGCAGTTCTCTCCAAACACGCCTGGTCATGATGCAAAGGGGGTGAGAGGAGCAGGAGAGGGTAGGGTCCCCCTTATTCAAAATACACATTCCTGGGCTCCACTGGACACCTAAAAAATCCGAAACTAGGTGGGAATGTGTATTTTTACCAAGTGCCTCAGATGATTCTTATAAGCAGGCAAGACTGGGAAAGATGCTTCAAGCTCCCTTTTCCTCTTTGTTCAAATTAAGGAAGCAATGGAGTATAAGTGGACTCTTTCTACCACACTTATCTCTACTTTTATTTTAAAAAGAGAAAGGGCTGAGTGATCCTTATTTCTTCAGTCTCTGGTTCTTAAATGTTATATCTTTTCAATGGTTAGCCTATTTTCAACCACTACTTTTAGCACCACTACCACAGCCAATACACCTACCAGATGGCACGGAAACACTGTTTGCATGCCTAGTAAAAGAGAGTGAGAGGAAAGCAGCACATTTTATCTTGTACCAACAGCCACTGAATGGCTACAGTAGATCAAGGCAGCTGGGTGCATCCACAAGGATCAGAATTTATGAATGTGAGAATATCCAAGGGCACTTAATTGGAAATCATTCTCAGGAAGAAGCCCACAACCCCTCTGAGATGGTAACCTGCCCCAGAGACTGTTAACAAATAAATCATTTTAAATTTACAGTCAAGAGAGATATTTTTCTAATACTTACAAAAGGTGATAATGACTACAGACAGATCTAGAATTAAAAAGTTGCCTTCTTAAAAAAAATTTAAAACTTTAGGACACTTAAATGCAAAGACCACCCATGAATTAGTTTCAAAGCAGTTCTTTTCCTTAGCAAACAAAAAAGGGGATCATCATATTCCATAATACCATACTAAGCAGCTTATTCAAAACTGCAATGTTATCGACATTCTTATTTCAACATGTTCCACTTGAGAGCTATTACTGAAGTTACATTTAAATCATATTGCAAAGAGCAAGAAATCTGCTAGTTAGACATCAATATTAACAACATCTTTTGTATTAAAATCTTATCCATTAAAAGATTTTGCAGGGCCAGCCCGGTGGCATAGTAGTTAAGTTTGCGCACTCCACTTTGGCGGCCCAGGGTTCGCAGGTTCGCAGGTTTGGATCCCGGGCGCAGACCTACACACTGTTCGTCAAGCCATGCTGCGGTGGCATCCACATACAAAATAGATGAAGACAGGCACAGATGTTAGCTCAGGGCTAATCTTCCTCAGCAAAAAGGGGAAGACTGGCAACCAATGTTAGCTCAGGGCCAATCTTCCTCACACACACACACACACAAAAGATTTTGCAAACTTTTATAAATAAGTTCCATGGGTCTACTTGGCACACAGTAAGGGCCCAGTTAGCAGTCTCTTCATTTTTCTGTCAGAGAAATTGCCAAGAGAGTTGACAAACTTTGCACCACAAGTGAGCAAATGCCAAAAACAAAGCCCCCTGCTGATGGTCTCCCTGCTGATGGTCTCCCTGCTGATGGTCTCCAGCTTTAGGTCAAGATCCAAAAGTTCACCTGAAAATTCGTTGCTTGAAACTTGGTAGAAAGAAATACATAATGCTATTACCCAACAGGTTCCTGGATCCATTTGCAAAACAGCGTTAATTCATTATATACTTAAACCACAATACTCATACTATTTTACTTGCTCCTAAACAATGTAAAAGGTTTTCTTTTCAGAAAAATATAGGCATCAGGCAAACCTTCCCCCGACCTCCACCCCAGAGATGAAAGATTTCTAGGTTGCTGTTAATTGTTTCTAATTGCCTACATATGTGTAAGGCAGAGAGCACGTCTAAATCAGTCACTCTTGAGTATCATGACTTGGAGAACAATGAATAGGTAAAGCTCAGATTCCCCCAGACCTCAGTTTTGTGCCGAAGAGTTCATATATAAGGCGACTGCAGGTACTTCACTCCAGAAGTCTTCGTTCAGTATACTGCTCTCAATTTGAAGGGTTAATAGTCTCAATTATTTCTGTATTGTTGTTGCTTGATGCTGTTTTCCTTGTTAAGTAACTTACTGTCGTGCCTACATTTATAATCGTTAAGTGACACACATGCCTGATAACTACAATCTAGGATGGTGTCATAGTTATATATCAGATGTGGGGCCACCAACTTTTTTTAGGGCTGTCTAGTCCATCAAAATTATATATTCTTTGGCCAAAATTGTAAAAGTTCTTTTTGTGTGTGTGTGTGAGGAAGATCAGCCCCGAGCTAACATCCGTGCTAATCCTCCTCTTTTCGCTGAGGAAGACCAGCTCTGAGCTAACATCTATTGCCAATCCTCCTCCTTTTTTTTCCCCCAAAGCCCCAGTAGATAGTTGTATGTCATAGCTGCACATCCTTCTAGTTGCTGTATGTGGGACGCGGCCTCAGCATGGCCGGAGAAGCTGTGCGTCAGTGCGCGCCCGGGATCCGAACTCGGGCCGCCAGTAGCAGACCATGCGCACTTAACCGCTAAGCCACGGGGCCGGCCCTAAAAGTTCTTACTGAAGTCAAACCTAGAGTTGGTAAATTCATGTTAAACTCCGTGTAAGTTATTTTACTTATCTTAGAAACTGAGAGGAAAAAAACTCAACTGCTACATGTTGCTATTCCTTAAAAAAGCAAAATGTACATAGATCAATTTTAGAATCTTATCTTAATCTTAACTAAAACAATGATCTGAAAAGCTTCAAAATCTCTAAATTCTGTCATCATTATTTAAAGGAAAGAAAATCTTCAGGGAGGTCCACAGATCCTAGCTAAGAGCAAGAGAAATTTTTAATAATCTCCTTGAATGTTGATATCTTTTTCAGTCTTCTCCTTAGCTCAATAAAATGTTTAGAAAAACATTTAATGTTTGCTCCATACACAAATTTTGAACTATGGTTCAAGGAATTTGGGGACTATTATACTAATTTTACAGTGTAGGTATGGCAAATTTTTAACAAGTGCCTAATATGTGAAAAATCTGGTTCTCAGCACTGGTTTTTCAAGAGGTAACTTGAAGAAGTGCATCAAGTTGTACTTTATGCACATTATACAAGAGCACAGAACTTCTCTTTGTGTTACTTGTAAGAGGAAAGGCTTGTACTTTACTTATGAATTCCACAAATTCAAAAACTATTTTTTTATTCTAACTGCTTTAATTACATGCATATTGCTTCCAAGCTCTTCCTTCCTACTCTTCAGCATATAAACATTCCCCTCTTTCCATCAGCAACCAATCTACGCTTACTCTCTTTTTAGAGGCAAACTGCAACACGGCACTTGAGTTAAACTCAAAATATTTCTCTCACATTTCTTACTCAGGGATCTTTTGGAATAAATCTCATGCTTCTCACTGACGATAAAATGATCTATTATATGCCAATGATGTTTCATATTGCAATTTCATTTTGAGCTTTAGTATCTATTGTGCAATTAGAAACTTTTACAACCTAAGTATTCCTTATATATTTTTATAATGGCTTAGTTTTTTTTTTCCATAACACTCCATGTGATTCAATGATCGTTTTTTCCATAACTTACTTAAATGCACTATAATTAACTTTCTCACATTTCCATTAATTACACATAATTCTTTAAGATTAAAAAAAGACTCTTCAAAAGATATGTTACTCTATACTGATTCTCAAATTCTGAATGTAAAAGAATAAATTTAAAATGACTAAATTTTATTTATTCACTGACTAAGTCAGATTTATGACCTCCCCTCCCCATTCTAGCTACTGTGAATTTTGAATGAAACAACCTCAATTGTAACAGAAGAAACATCTGTTGCTTTTTTTCTTCATCAGGGCTTTCCTAACTGAAAGAAAGGCTCTCTGCCTGACCTCCTCTCTCTCCCCCACTCCCCCTCCCCACCCACACTAAGTTCCTTAAAACTTTTTAAAGAAAATGTATTATTTAAAATTTTATTGTATCTATATAAAATGTCACAGTTTATCTAGAAACATTCATTTCCTTATTGAAGTTCAAAGAATGAGTAAATGTTATATACATCTAAAACAAGAGACATGGCTGGTAGAATATTAATTGTAACTAAAATGCAGACTTCAAGAGTATACTTGAAGTGATCAACTCAATCAAGTTGTCACACATTCCAGGCTCATTCGCTATTGTTTAGGGTTAAGATTTTCTTCACAGTACCCAGATTCATACGGGATCTTGCATGCTATATTTTCTTTGCCAATCCAACGCTAACATAATGGCAGTCACTACCCCAAGAGGCAGACACCAAATGGTGCCACCCACACTCTCACACTGTGCTCATAATAAACCATAAAGCAGTGGAATGCACCGGCCCCTTTATGAGCAAACAATGCCTGAGCTTCATTAGAATACAGCTGACATTTTCAAAGCACAAATACTTTTAAGAAAAATGTACCAGGAAAAAAAAAAGGAATGAAACAGCTATAAAAGCTGACATATTTTTTTAAGTGTCAGGTTTATTCCAAAGATCCTGAGGAAGCATATTTTGCTGCTGACAATTTTAAAGTTTTCATAAATGGAAAAAATGTATAGTTAAGGGCAAAGTTTATTTTATTAACTACTGGGAAGAAATGAAAGTAAAAACTATCATTTGAATTGCATTCACAAGTAATAACCATGAAGTACCTTGAAAATTATTCATTTCCTCAACTGCTCCCTTAGTTCTTGAACGAAGAAAACTGAGCTCCAGAATTACTTTCACATTTTAATTGATTTATATAAGTAACTGAGTGATAAACTAAGCTTACTCTACCCCTCCCCCCCAACCCCCATACCCTGTAGTTTTCCTGTCTGCAACAAGCAAGAACGTCTTGAATTCAGCGTGCTCCTGGCTATTTACCAATTTAACACTGCTGCTATTGAAAGAATATAAAATAAACGCTGTAAAAACTCACCCACCAGTAAGAAACGAAATGATCTCTCTTACCTGGTCTAAAGAAGCATGCCTCTCACTGCAGTACCAACAACACTCTACAGTCTTTGTTACCATTCAGTGGAAACTTGAGACTGTGTCAGACATGAGCAATCGAGCTCAGAAAAGCTCAATTTAAAATACTTCTCAATAAAACTAAAAAGATGCTCAAGAAAACTGTTTAGTTAACTGGCTTTCAAAAGACATATGAATACTGTCTAACACAACAAAGACACTTCAAAAGAAACTGAAAGTGCAGGTCTTAAGAGACGAAGGAACCTCTTTATGTAGTATCTTGCTTTCTTATTAAAGGTTGCTTTAAAAATATGCTTAAAATAAAATGGTGAAATGATAAAATGCCTAACGCCAAACTAACATTTTTCTAAAACATCACTTGAATTTTAACTAGCTAAAAAATAAGATTAAACTTACTCAAGAAACCTACATAATTCGAATTATACATGTCAGGTTATTTGCCGGCTCCAAAGCAGTCACAAAGTAGACCTTAATGCATCTTGAAAGCAGAGCAAAAGCACCAGGAGTTTCAGGAAAAAAAAAAAAAAAGAGGAGAAACTCTTGAAAAACTGGTTGGGGCTTTTCGACCTGTAATAACTGTCCAGCTCTTCTGGGAGAAAAAAAAAAGTCCTGGTCCTGCCCCCTGAGATAGGAGGCTATGCTTCAACGCCAAAATGAATGACAGGCCCATTTCTGATATCAACAAAGAGCAGCTTAGTTGTGCTCGATTTTTTTTCACTTTCCCACACAGAAGTTCTAAATTTTTCAGGTTAGTACCTTTATATCTAGGGTTAAGTACCTTTCTTCATATTCTCAAGAGAACCCAATTATGTTGTCCTAGTTTTTCAAATGATTAATTAAAAATACATACCTAATTATCTTATTCAGTTTTTCCTAGGTAGGAAGCTGAACAAAAAGATGACCTCTTAAGTTGCTTTCCAAATCTATCCTTTGCAATATCAGATCATCATATGACTAATTATTAATATTAATATCAGATCATGACTAATTATTAATATTAATAAGCTGTTCCTGCATCCTGATATGTGGGCATAAAGAAAAACAAAATGTAGGTAACAAACATAAAAAAAGGGTTACAGAGATTATAAAATTTTCAACTAGCTAGATGTAAGAATAATTTACTAAAGTATATGTCTATGATTATATAAATGCAAAACAATAAATACTTCAATCAACTACATATATTTACTGAATGCCTATCATGAGCCAGGCACTATTTTGGGCTCTGGGGATAAAGCAGTGAACAGAGCAGGCAAAAGCCAAACAAAAACCCCTGTCTTCAGTGAGCTTATAAGTTTATATCGCAGTGCCCTGAGAAAACAACTCTCCCAGGTGACGAAGGACCTTTCCTTCTTTGATTAGTTACCACCTGATCTGAAACACACCCCTCTGAAAGCATGTCTTGACAACACCTCCAGCAGGGCAAGGATTCTGTGCTTTGTTCAGTGTTGTACCCCAGTGTCTAAAACAGCGTCTGTTAGTCACTCAAATAAATATTGAATGAACTAGGTCAAAGAGAGCTTTTCCTTGGTCAAACCTTTCTTTGCAAACAATGTACCACATATTATTACACTTACCTGCATACAGAGATATGTCAAAAATGATATAGAACAGGATGTAATTGGGTTGCAAATATATATTAGCTTAAGATTGAAAATACAACCTATATGGCCCTGTATCTTTTCAGATTCTAAAATCTGTTTTCACTATCAGATGTGAGGTCACTAAAATATTTGAGTAAAGGAATCAGTTAAAATTTTATACATTAAGTGGACTATCAGATTTCAGGGGAGTTTTGAATTAAAAATGAAGAGACTTGGAAATTACACAGCACCCAATCAGTTTTGTGTATTAAAATTTTATACGTTTACATCCATTTATATATCCATATTTGGAAATAATTTTAAACTCTCCATCCTGCTTCTCATCATTCTTGATCATCTTACCAGAAACTACACAGAGAAAATAAGTGCACACCTCTAACCTGTCAGATCAGCAGAAGTGCTCCCCGATGCCACCCAAGGCAGGATATTAGGAGCTAGATATGGTCACAGTTGCTCTGTTACAGTCTTAAAACAAAAGGAAATTAAACTTCCCAGTACTCAGGTACACACACCATACTTCTAAATAGCAGAGCTTTACCCCTCACTCCCGGCTCCCCGAGCCAGACAATGATTACGAGTTCAAATATAATCTACCTGGAATATTCACACATTTAGCGTATGTTCTAACAATAAATCTAACAGCAACCCAAAGTCAGGAAGATGTGTGATGACTGAGGTCAAGTAATGGATAAAATAGTGGGCCAAAGGAGGATTCCACTGTTCCGCAGGGGCAATTTTTCTTCTCCCTAACCATTGTTCCTTCTTTCCTTCCACAAATACTGACTGAGCACCTACTATGTATCAGGCACTGACCTGGCAGCAAAATGACCTGCTCCTTACTGTCTACTCCACAGATCTGACCTTAACCCCCTGTCTGTTCTTTCATATGCTGCCTTCTCCCTGTTTGCCTTCCTTGCCTGTGCCCCTTCTCCAGTCCCAAATTCTTCTCTCACACTGCCCTTCAATCTACTCTCAAGCCTTTCTCGGCAAGCAGCATAATCACTACCTTCTGTGTTCCTTTACAAGTGTGTGACACACTGTGGGGAAATTCTGAGACTTCCCACTGGCATAATAAAATGCATCTTATATAGGCCCTCTCAAATAATTCCTCCTTAATCTTACACAGGAAATCCACTTAAGCATATTATTTATAACTACTAATTATCTAGAAAACACCAAAGGGGGTAGGCATTCTCTCCCCCAGGTTTATAAGCTAATTTATTTGGACTAGAGTTTGTTATGTTTATTGGCAACCTGACCAAACATTAACCACATTTTACAGATACATATATGATTCTATAGGCAGAAATGACACTATGATAGCACAGTAATAGTCTGTATTTGCCCCATGCTTGCTAAATATATCTACCAGATCCATATTATTAGGGAATGGAAATTAGCACAGCTAATAGACTTACCAAACTATATTTATTCACATTTTCAAGTATAACGTCTAATCTTCCTGACGAGGACTACACCTAAAGCAAAGGGTTCCTGCTACCACTTGCACGGAGAAGTGCTGGTTTCTCAAAAATATCCTACAGTAAGTAACTTCACCTTTGCTCACTCCTCTTCCTTTTCCCACCTTAACAGACATTTTTCAAGGTTGAGTCCTTTATGCTCCTTACTTCAACATTTACGTTCCCTCTTTGGAGGACATTATCCATTTCTATGACTTTATCACCTCTATGTAGATGACTACAAAAATATATACTTCTAGCCCTAGCCTTCTCTGTTCTCTCTGCTCTAAACCCTTATTTACAATTGCCTATTGGACATCTCTGTCTATATGTCCCACAATCTCAACTCAATTCCTGCAGTACTGATCTCCTTGTCTACCTTCCCAAACCAGCTCATCCTCCTATGTTCCCCCTCCTTGTTAAAGGCATCACCATCCAGAACAGAAAGTGATTTTCTATCCTTGCCTCTTCCTTACCATCCAAATGTCTACACTGTTTCCAGTTTTTTTCTAAAACACACATAAGGGGCTGGCCCCATGGCGTGGCAGTTAAGTGCACGCGCTCCGCTGCTGACGGCCCAGGTTCGGATTGGGGCGCACACCGACGCACCGCTTGTAGGGCCATGCTGTGGCGGCGTCCCACATAGGGTGGAGGAAGATGGGCACGGATGTTACCTCAGGGCCAGTCTTCCTCAGCATAAAAGAAGAGGATTGGCATGGATGTTAGCTCAGGGCTGATTTTCCTCACAAAAAATAAATAAATAAAATAAAACACACATTATTCTCCTGGTTTAAAAACAAAAGAAATAAGAAATACAACTTCCAAAGAACTCCCAACGTCTAGAGCTACACTATCAAAAGTAGTGGTAGCCTTAGCCACATGTAGTTATTTACGTTTAAGTTGATTAACGTTAAATAAAGTTAAAAATTCAATTTCCCAGTTGCAGTAGTCACATGTTAAGTCCTCGAAAGCCATATGTGGCTAACGGCTACTGTACTGGATAGTGCAAATGCAGAAAATTTCCATCATTGCAGAAAGTTCTATTAAACATTTCTGGTCTAGACAATAACAGCAAACTACTTAAGACAGAAGTCTACATTTTCCTCAGTCTGGCCCCAATCTACCACCTTTCTAACCTTACCTTCTACCAAAATCCCTATGCATGCTTTAGTCACAACTGAATCAGCGGAGCCCAAAGAGTCAAGCTGAAGGCTTTACAGGATGAGGGAGGATATGCCAGTACTTCAGAGAGGATCTGTGGGAGGCGAAGAAACCAAAGATGCTGGAGAGGACAGAAACAGTTCACTGAAGCCCTCAAAAGTTAGGAGGGGACGGAACTTTAGACATAAGAGTTTAGCCTTCGAGAAGGAGTATGGTACAGTGGAGAAAGCAAGAGCATTGGACTCAGAACGCTTCATCCAATTTCTAGTTTAGCGATAAGGGATAGAAACTGAACTCAAACTGGTTTGACTTGAAAGGAAGTTAGTTGGCTCAACTGGTCATAGAATGCAAGAAAGGGTTAGATAACCAAACTAGGAGGGTCAAGGATGTAACTAGGTCTCAGGAACTCTAAGGTTGCCAGGACTGTGCCTGTCAGTCTCCCTCCCTCTGTCTTTTACCTCTGATTTCCTCTCACGTCAGCATCATTCTCACTATAGATCAGTATTCTTTACGTGGTGGGAAACATGGCCACTGATGTGTCACTAGTTTTATATCACAGATTCCATCAACCCTCTCTCTCACCCTAGGCCTTAAAATACCAGGAAGACATCCATTGGCTGAACTTGGGTCAGGTGCTCGTCCTGGCCAATGCAATGTCAAAGCCATGAGGTGCTGGGACAATCAACTGTGGCCACAGGACAAAGAAGGACATAATCACATAAACTGCAGTATGGAGGCAGATGAGGAAGAATTGGTGGAGGAGTTTCTGGATGTCTTGCAGATGGCCACTAAAATCACTAGCTGAGTCATTTAAATATAAGA